AGAGTAATTACAGAATACAGAGCCCTTCCCTGCCACACACGCTCACAGGCTCTCCCTCCCTCTCTCTGGCTTCTCTCCTGGCAAGCGTCAGGTGCCTGTTTCCGCCCAGCCATATTTAGGCCCTGAATGTTCCTTGGGGGATGCTGAGAAGCTTAATCACTGCAAGCAGCTGCCAGGCTCCTGGCACCGAGCAGGGATTTATCCTGGCTGGTCAGATCTGAACTGCACGTCTCATGGCACAGCACAGAATTGAAGTTCACAGAGACCTGCTCCAGACCCTCCCCCTTCCCTGCTCCAAATCTTCCCCGATCCGGATAGGCTCCTGGACTCTGCTCCCTTGTTTTAAGAACGTCGTGTCTCCATGGATGTTCTTGACTTACAGCGTTTCCCATTTCGACCTCTCTGAGTAGCAGTCACCCTGCTGGCTCCATCAGACAGTCTCCGCTTTGGCTGGTTTAACTCCTGCTTTCAAATAACAGGCAGCGCGGACTATTTCACACCAACGAAAATCGACTCTGCACAGCAGAAGAGAAAGGGACAGCTCTAAAAACAAGGAGGGGAACTGTCCTTGTACACAGCAGCATCCAGGCAGGATTTTAGGCCCAGAAAACCTAACTCTTTGAGAAAGTGGCATGGCCTAGTGGTCTGAGCAAGGAGCTTCTGGCTTCTATTCTCAGCTCTGATGCCAATTCCCAGACTGCTCTTTTAACCCTCTCCACCCTGCGAAACAGGGATATTCATATTTCCTACATGTTTCTAATATACCCATCACCCCAGTGCCTGGAAGATCAATCCGTACCACTGCCAGCGCAGGGCTGTTAAGGGGATGGGTTAATGTCTGTAAAGAGATGTAGTAATAAGCAGAGCCATCTACTATTTGAAACATCATTAATTGCAATAATGTTATCCACTATTAATAACTGAAGGGCCGTAGGAAATAACTGAGCAAGGCTATTTCCCTGGGGAGGGTGAGCATCCCCACTGGAGTCAGTGCATCTAGCTGGAAATACTGTGGAGAGAGGTCACCATAAATAGTTCTTAAAACAAGAACAAAGACGGTGCTGGCAGAAGACAACCAGCAGCCTCCCCCTCCCACTCTCAGATGATCTCAAAGCACTTGGCGAGAATTCATCAATTTACCCTACTGCTATTCCCAGGAGTATCTCAAATCCCATTTTATTGCTAGGGAAACTGAGGCTCGTGGCAAGGACATGAGTTGCACAGCATGCCCATGCAAGAGCCAGGAAGAGAACCTAGCACTCATAGCTCCCAGTCCTGGGCTTTACTGTCAAAACTTCCCTTCTTCCACCCAAACATGCTTTGCTTTCTACTCTGAGTTTTTCCTGTAGCTAAATGGTGCTGGGGCTGGACTCCTGACATAGGCAGGGGATGGGACTTGGGGAGGAGTAAGCTTAAAGGAAAATTAAATTGTTCTAGCCCCCATGGTTTACACTGGATGTCCATGTTGCCCACAGATCATCGAAATTTGACCTTCGACCCAGACACAGCCAATAAGTACCTGCAGCTGTCCACTCAGAACCAGAAGGCCAAACACACCCGTTCTCCTGATGGCCAGTGTCAGGCCCATGCAGATAGGTTTGAGCTGTGGCAGGTGATGGGCAGCCAAAGCTACAGCGAAGGCCACCATTACTGGGAAGTCAGGATCTCCAGCCACTCAGTCATCATAGGTGTCACATACAAGAAAATCCAGAGGAAGAAACAAGCTGGTCACAAATTCAGCATTGGGCTGGATGAATCGTCCTGGGGGCTGCAGATCCGGGAGGACTGCTACTTGGCCTGGCACAGGGGCCAGTCACATAAGATCATAGAGCCCTTGTACCGATGCCTCGGAGTCAGCCTGGACTATGGAACAGGAGTCCTGTTGTTCTATGGCATTGGAAATGAGATGAAATCTCTCAACTCTTTCCACTGTGTCTTCACTGAGCCCCTCTACCCAGTCTTCTGGCTCTGCGAAGGCAGAGTCGTCACCCTTTGCCAACAGAACTGAGGATAGCCAGCAGGGCGTGTCCCATCTTGCAGCCAGCTGCACTGCTTTGTTCGGCGGGCAGCCTACTGAAGCTACAGCCAGGTCTGGAGATGTCACAATGTGGTCGGTTCCACGGGGCCAAGGCTGTGGGCTTGTCATGAGTTGAACATGGGCAGATGAGGTGGGAACCCTGAAGACCAAATAAACGTGGCTGGAATGAAAATTGCCCAAGTCGTTCAGCCATCTGTAGGTTAGCCATTAGGTGGCAGGAGGCCTGCTTCCTTACTGGTCACAACGGTCCCCTGGTGGAAGAGCTGAAGCTAGTGGGATTCAGAAGGCGCCTGGCATCAATCTAGTGTGTGGAAATCGTTACCCGTCTCCAGCCCACGTGACAGAAGTTAGGATGCTGTGGTGGCACCAGGGGAAGGGCTGTTTGGGGAAGGCAGGAGGGGAGCTAGCACAGCTTCATGTCCCAGCGCTCATTTCCTCCACTTCCCCGAGCTTTGAACAACCACCGCCTGCTTTTCATTCTTCAGAGCAGTTGCTCTCAGAAAGGTGTCCTTCCTCAGACGTTCTCCTAGCTGGTTGGAGGACAGGCAGTGGGACAGAGCCTTCACGCGAGTGCTGTGGAGACGGTGCGAGGATGTGGTTGCTCTGGTGTTACAGACTCTACATTTGGAAAAGTTTCACTTTCTCCAAACCATCCATGTTTGGGGGTGGATCAAGGAGGGATTCCAGCCTGGCCCCTTTCTAGCATGCCAGGCTGTTCTCACCGCAGGACTCAGAACGTTCAGAGCACAGTGGGGTGGGGGAGAAGAGGAGAAGGTCTCTTTCCTTTGCTTTGCAGACAATATGTTTCCCTGGTTGGTTTCTATTTGTTTTTTAAAAGGTTCCTCCTGCAATAAAGCTCTAGTTTCTTAAGCTGTGTCAGTTTGCCTGAGAACGTGGGCCTGGTGAACAGTGCTGGACCCACTTCCTGGAGGAGGAAATTCTAGCTGTCTACAAAACCAGGTGGGCAACTATAGGGTGAGTTTCCCACCTCCTGGCCTGTCCATGTACCTCATTACTGGTCCCATCCCATCCCATCCCATCCCATCCCTTCCACCTCTGACCCAGTCGAGTCTGATTGAAGATGGATTTCTTCGTTTCAGTCAACATGGTTTGGAAAGGTAAGAGTTAAAAAAGGACCCTTGTACTTCATAAAACAACCACCTGTTCCAGCAGCCCCTGCCCTGGGCAGCTCCTTTCACTGGCCAAGACTTGGCTTTTTCCCATCACTGGAGCTAGTGTGTGCCGAAGAGTGAGGCTGTGCCTGTTGCATTCACCTTCCAGCTGCGGGTTTGAGGTGGCCTCCAGGGGGCACTGGCTCAGTAGCTTTTCAAGGATAAAGCTTTGTTGCTCTCCTGGTATTAGCTGGTATCTGGTACCACGGCCTAGGCTGAAGCTCAGCAGAGAGGCTTGTGGGAGCGTTGATGCAGGAAATCTCCAGGGAGGGTCCCTGGCCCACGTGCATGTTATACTGGGACTGGGTTTGGCCCAGGCACTCTGCAGTCGCTGCTGAATTCTAGGAGGCAGTTTGCCTCTCAGGGTGCCTCCTGTGTGAAATGAGTTTGGCTCTGATCCAGGTCCCAGCGGACAGGTCTCCACAGCCCAAAATACCATCCCCGCAATGGGCGAGACGTGGCGCCCGCGTCGGCAGCCTCAGCTAGAGATTCTGGAGACTGAACGGGCCTGAGTCCTGTCTCCATTCAACCCCCGACTGGCCATGCAAAGAGGCCCGTTAGTGGGAAAGCCGGCGTCGCTGCTCCCTGAGCCAGGGTGGTGTCTGTGTAAATATGAGGCGTCTATGCCCTGTCTCCTACCTGCCCAACAAACAGTGTGTTACAAACTGCCTCTGTTCATACTCCACATCTGTCCCAACCCATCCCCCTGGCTCTGGAGCCATCGACACCCCCCACTCCCCTCCTGGCAACTGGGTCCTGCTCAGGAAAATTCTTGACACTCCATAAGCTCCTCCTGGAAAATGCCCCCCGGAGACCTGCGACTCCCCCCTGGGCTGCTTCCTGCCTGCGGAGGATTCTTTCTGGCCCAGGGCTTAGACCAGTGAAGTGGGTTTGCAAAGGTGAGGCTGAATGCAGATTCCCACCCCCTCAGATTCTTTCTATGACCAGCCCATACCCCCTTCCCCCCACACACACACCTGTTGCCTTTTGTTAGTGCCCATTTCTCCCCTCTCCCATCCAATTGTGGAGACTGGGGCATCCCACTGGATCTGCATGAGAGGAAGGTAGAGGGCAGGAAAAGAGGAGGGACTGAGATGGTCACAAGGTTCCTACCGCTCCATCTGTGCCCACCTTAAGCAGCAAACCCTCTCCTAGAATCATAGAATCCCAGGGCTGGAAGAGACCTCAGGAGTCATCGAGTCCAGCCCCTGCCCACAGCAGGACCAACCCCAACTAAATCAACCCAGCCAGGACTTGTCAAGCTGAGTCTTAAAAACCTCTAGGGATGGAGATTCCACCCCCTCCCTAGGGAACCCATCCCAGTGCTTCACCACCCTCCTAGGGAAATAGTTTTTCCTAATATCCAACCTGGACCTCCCCAATGTAACTTGAGACCATTGCTCCTTGTTCTGCCATCCGTCCCTACTGAGAACAGTCTTTCTCCAGCCTCTTTGGAACCTCCCTTCAGGAAGTTGAAGGCTGCTATCAAATCTCCCTCCCCCTTTTCTTTTGCAGCCTAAATAAGCCCAAATCCCTCAGCCTCTTCTTGTAGGTCATATGCTCCAGACCCCTCATCATTTTGGTTGCCCTCCACTGGCCCCTGTCCACATCCTTTCTATAGTGGGAGCTCCAGAACTGGACACAATATTCCAGATGTGGCCTCACCAGTGCTGAATAAAGGGGAATAATCACTTCTCTAGATCTGCTGGAAATGTTCCTCCCAATGCACCCTAATATGCCATTAGCCTTCTTGTAGCCAAGGGCACACTGTTCACTCATATCCAGCTTCTTACCTACTGTAATCCCCAGATCCTTTTCTGATGAACTGCTACTTAGCCAAAATTCCTGTAACAGGAAAAACTTAAAAAACAACAATAGACTAGTAGCACCTTAAAGACAAACAAAACATGTAGATGATATTATGACCTTTCATGGGCACGGCCCACTTTTTCAGATGACAGGAGTGGTAGAAGTCCAGATCCAAGAATAAATAAGGGAAGGAGGGACAGGGGGCAGGGATAAAAGAAGGGGAAAAAATAAAGAAAAGGAGAAAAAAAGGAGGGGAGGAAGAAAAAAAGAGAAATAGTGAGTAGATAAGCTTCAGAGTCCTGAGTCCATCATACTCCCAGCCTCCCTTCCCTGAGCCCCTCAAACACCCCAACCCAAACCTCTGCACCTTCACAGCCACAAGCCTGTGGCTTGCTCAGCACTCCAACCTCCACCTGACTCCAACACTCCCCAACCTGGAGCCCCCTCCCCGAGCCAACATCCCCTTTTCCACCTCCTCCTGCATCCAAATTCCCTCCCAGAGCTTGCACCTCTCTCCCCTTCCCACACCCAAATCCCTCATTCCCACCCCAGAGCCCGCACCTCCTGTCTCAGCCCAGTGAGACCGAGTAAGACAGTGGTCACAACCAGTCGATCGGGATCTATTGGCAGATCTTGAAGCCTCTGACAGGTGAGCCTGATTGGTTTGGCCAAGAGGCTATCAAGTGCTGGTACTTCAGCTCTCCCTCCCCCCACTGCTGCTCACCTCCTTCCCTTTGCCTGGGAGCTTCCTCCCACCCCTGGGAGCCTCCTGCTTGTGGCACAGAGCAGGGAAGGGAGAGGAGGGTGCTGATGTCAGGGGGCCCTTTCTTCCACCCTGTATTCTATCTCCACAGAATGGGGAGAGGGGGACAACAGGGCCTGGGATGGAAGGAGTTTGCTGGCTGCTTTTGAGAGTGGTGCAGGGCCACGGCAGGAGTGAGCCTGCCTTAGCCCCACTGCACCTCCACCCAGGAGCCACCTGAGGTAAGCAGCGTCCAGCTGGAGCCAGCTCCAAACCCCTGCACCAGTCATGTACCCCCCTCTACACCCCAAGCCCCTGCCCTAACCCTGAGCCCCCCCAGACCCAAACTTCCTTACAGAGCCTGCACCCTGCACCCCCTCCTGCACCCCAACTCCCTGCCCCAGGCTCAGCTCAGAGCCCCCTCACACTCCAAATCCCTTAGCCCAAGACCAGAGCCTGCCCCCAACCCTCTGCCCCTGCTTGGTAAAAGGGAGGGAGAATGAGAGGGTGGAGTGAGCAGGGGCAGGGCCTCGGAGAAGGGGCACGAAGGAGGCGGGGCCAGGGCATTTGGGTTTGAGGTAGATCCTGGATTGCACTTAAATTCAAAAAGTGATCTTTTGCTTAAAAAGGTTGGGACCCCTGGAATAAGGGCTTGAGATAGGAAGTGATGGAGAGGAGGGGAACAGAGAGGGCGAGGCCTCAAGGAAGGGGTGGGGTCTTGGGGAAGGGTTGGGGTAGATCTTGGCTTATCCTGACATTTAAAAAGTGATCTTGGTTGTAAAAAGGTTGGAGACTACTGGTCTAGTAGCACCTAAAGACTAAATAGTTACAAGAGACTGATAAGAACCATTAGCACCTCCAGTTTTGGTTGGTAGGTTAAGTCATAGGATGTGGAAAGCATGCATCTGACAAAGTGGGTCTTTGCCCACGAAAGCTTATGCTCCAATACAGCTGTTAGTCTATAAGGTGCCACAGGACTCCTTGTCGCTTTTGCAGATCCAGACTAACACAGCTACCCCTCTGATACTTGAAAGGTAGATTAAAGTGTTCTCCAACAGGTTTTTGTGTATTGTCTTTTCAGATATCTGATCATTTGGCATTTGATGCCATAGATCAGTGTTTCTCAACCAGTGGTATGAGTACCCTTAGGGGTACTTGAGAGAAGTCTGGGGGGTATGTCAACCCAACAGAAATATGGAGAAAACTGAATTTTTGTGTTGTTTTACAGCACTTTATTATTTTTGTACTTTTTTACACCCAAAAATGTCACCTTCCAGTTACGATTAAGTTGTTTAAACAAATGTGTTGCAATGACAAAAAAAAAATGTGTGTCTGAAAACTGTAGGTACTGGGGGTACTTATAATTTTTTAAAGGGGTGCTTTATAAAAAAAAAAGGTTGAGAAACACTGGCATAGATCACATAGAGGCTCATTTAACTGCACATTCACTGTAATCTATGCTAACAATGCCGACAATGCCCCACTGCCATGTATATTGGCCAAACTGGACAGTCTCTGTGGGAAAGAATTAATGGACACAAATCAGATATCCAAAAAGACAACACACAAAAAACTGTTGGAGAAGTGGGCTGTGCCCATGAAAGTTCATGGTACCATCTACATGTTTTGTTACTCTTTAAGGTGCTACTAGTCTATTGTTGTTTTTTCAGTTTTTCCTGATACTTAGCTAGTCGGTCCCCAGCCTGTAACAATGCTTGGGATTCTACCATCCCAAGTACAGGACTCTGCACTTGTCCTTGTTGAACCTCATCAGATTTAGTCCCCGGGGCCAGCTCCAGCCTCACTCCTGAGGGTCCCCCTGCCACTCTGTCTGCTGCCTCTGTGTCAGAGGCAGCAGTGCAGGGTGCCAGGGTGGGTGACCAGCTGCCTGTCACCCTGTGCTGCTGCCTCTGATAAAGAGGCAGCAGCATGGGGGGCAGCAGCCCCTGTCTAGGGTGGGTCTGAGCTCCTGGACCCAGTATGAGCCAGAACTGAGCTGGGCTGTCAGATCCTAATACACTTTAAATGCAGAGATGCAGCCGGGGTAGGTCCCAGACCCGTTTCAAGCCAGGACTGAGCTGGGCTGCTGGCCAGCCTGCTAAAAAATTTACTGGCAAGTGGGTAGGGGGGTAATGTGTGTAGTCTATAGCATTAACCTATAAGCTTTTGCTGATCAGTTAATCAGTTAATCAACTACACTATTATATCCCTAATCCCTACCCTCCAGCGTATCTATCTCTCATCCGCGAACTTGCTGAGGGTGCAATCCATCCCCTCATCCAGGTCATTAATAAAGATGTTGAACAAAACCGGCCCTAGAACTGACCCTTGGTGTATTCTGTTTGACACTGACTGCCAACCGGACATCGAGTCCTTGATCACTACCCATTGAGCCCGACAATCTAGCCAGCTTTCTATTCACCTTACAGTCCATTTATCCAACCCATAACTTGTTGGCAAGAATATTGTGTCCTGCCTGGCTTTGTGCCAATGTGTCATCACACCTCACAGAGGTGGGCTCAGGCAGGTCCACGAGCTTGAACCCCCCAGGGTTGGGCAAGAAGGGAGATGCACTACCCCCTTATGCTCCTGCCAACTGTAATTGCTAAAAGGGGTGCCCCTGGGTGGGCCTCCCTGCCCTCTCCCCCTGGCAGCACCAGTCACCCTTGTTTTGGCAGAACACTGCCACAGGAGTGAGAATAGCAGCGATTGTTCCATGAAGAGCTGGCTGCTGCTGGCCAACTGCCAGGTGGGAGAGGCGGCAGGGAGGGAGGGACAGGGAGTGGCAGAATTTTGGGAATCCAAGTCTCCATATAGCTTTTATTTTTCCCAAAAGTTAGGCAGTAAGTCACCCAGCTCCCTTAGCTGGGGTACTGCCCTATGGCTCAGGATCTCCAGGAGCCCTGCTAACTTCCTGCACCTGGACCAGCATCAGGAGCAGCCTTGGAAGAAGGCAACCACCTCCCATTAGTGTTCCCTGTAAGATGAGCACCTGGGCAGCCACTGGGGAGAGATCCAAATGCTGCCCAGCTGATTAGCAGAGCGCCCACAGCCTCCAGCATGTTTCTATTGGTGGTGCACATCCGCACATGCCGCGTACATAACAGCATTTATTCCACATACGGATGAAAAACATTAGAGGGACCATTGCCTCCCAGCCGCTGTGGGGCAGCATTGTCCCGTCACGCTGGCTCCCATGCTCAGAGGAACGTGAATCGCAGATGGCCACATTCAGTGCTTCCGTGGAGCAGTACCAGCCCCTGCAGCAGAGAATTTGGCCTGGGACATGTGAGGAGGCAGGTCAGGAGGGTTAACTCAGAAAAGGAGGGAAAGACTCTGTCTTGCTCAGTGGTTAGAGCATGCTCAAGCAGGAACAGAAGGGTCTGGGGAGCCACAAGACAGAAAAGGCCAGTGGATCGCTCATTGCTTTGCTTGCTTCGAAGCCAGCCAAGGGCTTGGTGACTCCCTTCGTCATCCAGTTTTGTGTAAAACTGGCTGCCTAGAAAAACAGGTATTAATACAACTGACCTAATAATAGAGAAAGAGCAATGGCCTGATACCAATGGCTGGCCTCGCCACAGGATTCCAGCATGTACAGACTAGAGATGGGTGCTGCAAACTATCCTGGGCTGGGATCCAATCATGCAAACTTACAGACATGAGCAACTGGAGGCTTGCGAGGAATCCCATGGGCTGACTTGAGTACGTGTCGTGCCCAGGAGGCTGCAGGTAGATTGATGCAGTTTGTTTTAATGGGCTGAAAATGGAGTCTGCGCCAGAGCAGGAGTGAGCTGATGTGTGACCCAAACCTCTGGGAAAGCGTCACTGCCCAACCATAAACCTGGATCCTATTAACACTGATACCTGAGCCAAATTCTCCAGGGGCACATTGTCTCATTAACTCCAGTGGGACAGCTCACCAATGTGCATTTGCAGGGTGCAGCCTCTGTGAGTCACCAGGACACAGGCTGCCATTCTGTGGATTAAGGTAGCATTTAGGAGCCCTGTCATGAATCACAGCCCCACTGGGCTAGGAGTTGTACATGCATGGAACAGCAAGACAGGCTCTGTCCTTGGCAATGAGCCTGTAAATCCAATGTGCCCCAGACTGCTCTGAAACCCTCAGCTCTAGCGGGAGGAGAGTTGATCTTCTTTGGTGAAACTTGCTCTCGTTTTTCAAAAAAAATTCTGACAAATAGAATATCAGTATAACCACCCCTCGTACCTCCCCCCTCGGACTCCTCCCTTCCCCCCTGTGTTGTGAGTGCACAGGACAGGTCAGTTACTTCCTGGCCCCCTTGTTGACAGTGAGTGAACATAAGAATGGCCTTACTGGGTCAGACCAAAGGTCCATCTAGCCCAGTATCCTGTTGTCCAACAGTGGCCAGTGCCAAGTGTCCCCAGAGGGAGTGAATAGAACAGGTGATCAAGTGATCACTCCCCTGTCACCCATTCCCAGCTTCTGACAAACAGAGGCTAAGGACACTATTCCTACCCATCCTGGATAATAGCCATTGATGGCTCCTATTCTCCATGAATTTATCTAGCTCCTTGTTTAACCCTCGAAGTCCTGGATGTCACAATATCTTCTGGCAAGGAGTTCCACAGGTTGACTATGTGTTGTATGAAGAAATACTTCCTTTTGCCTGCTTTAAATCTGCTACCTATTAATTTCATTTGGTGACACCCTAGTTCTTATGTTATGGGAACAAGTAAATAACTTTTCTTTGTTCACTTTCTCCTCACCAGTCATGATTTTATAGACCTGAATCATATCTCCCCTTAGTCTCCTCTTTTCTAAGCTGAAAAGTCCCAGTCTTTTTAATCTCTCTTCATATGGAAACTGTTCCAAACCCTTAATAATTTTTGGTTGCCCCTTTCTGAACTTTTTCCAATGCTAAAATAGGAGCTGTCCTTCATGTCACTGTCTCTGGGAGAATCCCTGCTCCAGGGGTACCCCATGTCACTGTCTCTGGGGGATCCCGCTTGTTCCAAACCCTTAATAATTTTTTGTTGCCCCTTTCTGTACTTTTTCCAATGCTAAAATAGGAGCTGTCCTTCATGTCACTTACTCTGGGGAAATCCCTGCTGCTAGTGTGTACCCATGTCACTGTCTCTGGGAGAATCCCTGCTCCAGGGGTACCCCATGTCACTGTCTCGGGGATCCCCTCTGCAGGAGGATGCCCCATGTCATTGTCTCGGGGGTCCCCACTCCGGGTACCCCTTGTCACTTTCTGGAGGGATCCCTGGTATAAGTGGGTACCCCCATGTCACTGTCTCTGGGGGATCCCGCTGCAAGGGGGCTGCCCTCTCGCCCCCTGCTCCTGGGGCCGCTGCACCCCCCGCCCCCTGGAGCCGGCCCAGGGCTGCGGCTCTGACACCAGTTCCTGTTGGGCGGAGCTGGCCGCCCTGCTCCCGGCGGGCGAGTCCCCCAGTCCCTCGCAGGCAGCAGCCCCGCACAGCA